TTGCGCAGGTTTTATATCGTTTTTCAAATCCCTTTTAATACCAATATTAACCACAAAAAATTCGGTGGGAACAAATTGTGAAGATGATAATTGTGACTGAGTTGTAAGTAGTTTAAAAGATTTGTTAATATTAGATGAGTATGATCTCAAAACTATCTCAACATTTAAATTGACTATTTTCGTTTATTTCAAATAGTAGGTACCAGATCATATGTTACCGGTTGGATAATAAAAATAATTAAACCACTTGTCAATAATTGTGAAATGTATAAAGCTAAATTAAGGTCCAATATATTTTTTATCTAATGAGCATAACTTTATTAAAATCCGCGAATATGAATAATTTAATTTAATTTATCCAAAAGCTTCTAATTTTTAAAGTCTAGCTATACTTATATACGTATATTTATTCAATTCATTTATTTCAGATTTTATTGAAAAACCAAATCTAAAAAAAAAATGATTTCTATTATGAAAAGTTAAATTGATTTAAAATTATTATCCTGTCCAAAACTGACTTGCAATGTATCTTTTTAAATACCTACATCTATTAGATTACTAAATTTTTCATTCATCACAAATAATAACTTAATTTTGAATAAAGGCAAAAAAAATCAATAAATACTTCTAATAAAATTATGATAGCTGTTTTTAAATATCATAAAGCATAAAATAATAACCAAAAAAAATGTTTTTCATTCAATTAAGAGCCTCTTAGTATAACTACTTACATTTGTTGTATTATTACTATTTAGTTTTTATATTGTAATGTATATTATAAATAGTAAGTTATATAATTATTTTTTTAAACTATACCTATTTAGTACTAGTTAAATAACTTATTAATTAGGTACTTATTGTTTCATTTCGTTAGTTATATAAATAATATTATTATGTATAATAATGTCTGTATACTTTAATATTTTGTATAAAATATATTCCAGCTTATCAAAGTGTTAACCAACTTAATTGTTACTGTTTTACCTCATTAGCATTTAATTATTAAATCATTAAAATTGTTGGTTGGTGGTTCTACTAAAAAAAAGTTTAAAATATTAAAAATAATTTCTAAATCCAGCAATCATCGAATAATATCTATCGATATTTTAATTTTCACGACAACCACCGGGAGTGCTCAAGTCGCTGATTCAGTGTTCCTTTACAGAGTGCGCTAATATCTTTTCTATGACACTGCTGAGCTCATCATTTGAACATAGTGTATTAGTGTTACAGCACAACAGCACAGCTGCAGTGCTGAAACGCCTGAAACGCAGTGTCGCATTTTTTTTGCAAATATGACTGGCATTTCCTCTTTTTTTCATAATTCCACCTCACGTACGAATGTTGTAGATTCCATTGCTGGCAAACCCATACCGCAATTTGTGTAGACGAGATGGGTTGCTCGCTTAAAAATTTATAAAAGGTTCAAATTCATCATCTAAATCGATTTGTGGTTCAACTGGGCATTTAAACAATTAAAAAAAATTTGACTGCGCTCTTTTAGCTCAAATATTGCAATAGTGCATTTTTATTCACTGACAATTTGGTGCAAATGTCTGAGGAGTGACCTCCCCCACATTTAACACCACGTGGCAGTATTTAGCGGCAAGTCCGTAGGTCTGACAGTTTTACACAGAGGCGGACCACTTTTTGTCCTGTATGGTAATTCTACTTTAATTTTAGTGTGCAATATTGATAACAGACTTAAAAACTTCTTTGTTATTAGCATTGGGTTTGAGGTCCACGAAAAAGAGAGGTAGCGGGCGTCTGTTTTAAGTGACATTTATGACACACCTAGCGAAGGTACCTAGTTCGTTGAAATGAAAGTGTGGAAACACGCATCGATTTTTATTAGATGTTGTGCGATTATATTAAAATGTTCATGTCCTTAAGGGAGGACAATAAAATAAGGAGGCGATGACTTACATGCGAACCCATTTTGGCCTGGGGGGCTATTCAGAAGGTTAGGTTAGTTTATTTATATTCGTATACGAATCCGCGTTCCCTACATGAGCCATATGGGAAAAATATTCACACGATGAACAGCGGCAACATCGCAAAATGTTGTTTGTATCATTGAAAGAAAACCATTTATATTGTTATACTTAATATTTCCCGCTTTTTAATAAAACCGTTTCATTTGTTTTTTCTTTTTTAATTGATTGATTATTCGTTAGTTTGTTAATACCAAAGTACACTTTAAAAAATGTCAATCGAAAAACGGTATAAATGTAAATCGGTTAACAATGACCAAAAGGCCACCATGATCGATTTTTTAAAAATCATGAGGAATTGTCGAAAGGGAAACATTCGGCAACTTTTACCCAAGCCATAGCTAAACGATAGTGTGAAGAACTATTGTTGGTATTAAATTCAATCCCGGGTCCTATAAAAAACTGGAAGTCCTGGCGCCGTGTAAGTTAATTACCTATTCAATTTAAATTTAAAATACTTAGGTAACTTCCAAAATTCCAATTTTCATAAAGTTGACAGGTGTACCTATTTAATAAATATACATGTATTAATAGTTAACATTAGATGAATTATACCTAGGTACCAACATAATTTGTTTAGAAATACATTTGGGTATTATTCATGTTAATAGCTAATAATAAATAGTCCATAATGTACTAAAAAAGTAGTTTGGTGTACTTTTCATTTATATTGAAGCTTTGAATTATCAATAAAGTTACATTTATTATAAACAGAACACAATGAAATGTAATAATATAACAAACATAATATATTACTAATACTAGTAATACTCAATGATTAAAGTGACACAAGGAATATATAATTTAATAATGAAAAAAATTAGTTTAAATTTAGTCAATTTATAAAACTAGTTTTGATTAAAAACATAAAAATATTGTTTATGAGTCAGACTGGGTAGATATTTCAAAATTACCAAATACATATTTAGAATTTTTTTAAATTATCACAGGAACGTTAAGACAAAATACAGGAATTATAGGTAGGGTCAGCAGAGATTATCTATGGTCTATGACATAACTAACTGTTTACTTACAACACCTATACACATATACTTATAGACGTGGTAAGATCTAAAGGCTGATGTTAAGAAAAAACAGGCACTATTAAACAAAAATTTGAAGGTTACTGGAGGCGGACCATCAAGAGCCTGGGTCACTGGACAATATCAGTGAAACTGGTTGGCATGATAGGCGTAGTGCCTATTTCTGGTGACCCTTCAGTTACAGATTACTCAGTGTACTTTGATTTTGATACCCAAAACAAGTAATTTATTATAAAAAAAGTTACTTGAATTAATTGATACCTAATTAGATACTACGTTATAGACAAAAAATCAGACATTGGTCATTAATATACCAAACGCTGAAAGTCTACACCGGAATGAAATATTCAATGAGTTGGATTACGGGTTGGTAATCGACATACGCCGAAGTCACCTCGTCTTTTTCGCCGGGATCACGTCCGTGAAAGCGATACCCGCGGACACGGCACCTTCCCAGTCGATATCCGTCATCGCGCAACCGCCGAAGTGCACAGCACTTCTTCATGACTATTCAGAGGTTTCCCGTGAATCGCCCGTGCCGAACGTTTTTCAACACGACGTGGTACACGAGTTACACATGACTGGCCCGCAGTCATGACCTGCCGTCTACGGCACAACTTTGCTACTCCCAGGCGAGTATTTTCACCCAGCACCACCCGAGCCGAGACCACTGGAGCTGGTCGCCAGACTACGCGAGTCAATGGGTCAACTTCGATATACGCCGGGCGCGAACCACGACACCCGACGTACTACGTTCGTACCAGCTGATTTAAGTCAGGTCAGTTATGTTTTTGTACGAATCGAAGCCGTCAAGCCGCCACTTTAATCGCGTTACGAGGGCCCGCACGCTGTGCTCGTGCGCCGAGAAAAAACATTCAAGGTGCAGCGCGACCAAGGTTTGGATTTCAATTAATCGACTCAAGCAGGCTCGATAGTTGTAAGTTTCAGGAGCAAGAGTCGCGTGACTGCCACGTCGTCGGACATGGAGCTCACGGACGATGAGGGGGGACGCCTCGAGGAGGTAAGGGCGGGAGAGCCGGTGGCAGGGATCCTCTCGGAGGATACTGCCGCCCAGGTATCGAAACGGAAGAGGGTGGACACCCCGGAGGTGGAAGGCATCTCAGGATGCGCCGCGGTTCGTCTGTCTACCTTTCCGCAGAAGGTTAGGGATATTGGAAGAGATCTTGGCTGCATTCTGCAGGCCGAGAAAGATAAGAAAAAGATTTCGGCGGCCGCTCATCGGTCTATTTTGGAAATTAGGGACAGGTATGAGGTCTTGCTCGACGAGGCCTTCCGGCAGAACACGGTTCTGCAGGGGAGGGTCGAGGAGGCAAGGCGCCTAGGAAAGGAGGTGGTTGTGCGAGAGGTGAGGGAGGCAGGGTCACCTGCCGCTAGCGTGAGTGTGGTTGAGAAAAAGGCGATGAAGGGAGATGTAAAGGTTGTGCGAGAGGCCGGGCCATCGAAGGCAAAGGCGCCCAAAGGGGGTGCATTCGTCGAGGTGGTCTCGAAGAAGAAGAGACGGAAGAAGAAGAAGAAGAAGGCGGTCCAGGAGGCCCCGAGGATGGTCGCGGCCGACAAGGCCACGGGCACTAAGACCCCGGCCGCCAAGGCCGTGGAGAGGGAGAAGGCGAGAGCTCCGGCTCGCGCCTTCGTCGTCTCGGCGGGTGCGGCGGGCGCTGGGGAGGCCAAGAGGCAACTCCGGGCTGACCTGGTGAAGGGGGTGGCGGTGCCCAAACTCGGGTACTCCGCGAAGCTCCCGAGAGGCGACCTGTTGGTCAAACCGGCGGACGAGGCAACCTACCTAAACCTAACCTATGAGGCGTTGAAGAGGGCAAGGGGAGGAGAGAGGGCAAGAGAGTGAGGGCAAGGGACTTAAGGAGGAGAAGGCGAGGTGGCCGACGGTCCTGGTCTACGACGTAGACAGGGACATCAGCAAAGAGAAGCTGCCGGGTCAGATCGCGGGTCAGAACCCAGAGCTTAGTTTGGACAAGGAGGCCGTGGTCCCCCTCTTCATGATGGGCCCAAGACGGAGGAGCTTGTTTGGTGGGTCTGTTCGGTCAGACCAAGCGCCTTCAAGCTAAACCTTGTAGATTTAGAAATTAAAACTATGAAATAAGTATCTAACATTTTATGATTTGTTAATGTCTTACAAGAAAACAGTTATTAATTTAGATTGATCCCTATAAAAAACCTATAAAATGGGAATATTATTCCAATATTTTCAAAATTGAAAGTAATAGCTTAACCAAAGTATGTCCAAAGTTGACAAAGCACCATTTTGAATTAAGCAACCTTTCTAAAATGAAGATGAAATATGCGGCACAAGTATGTAAATTATATATAGTACATTGTTATTTATAATTGTATAATATTCAAAATAAATATTTAATAATTAACAAAAATTATATTATATTTAATATTTATCAATGTTGAGCTTAGGTTTTTAGTAGATCTACAGCTGTAGGATAGAATTTTATAAGAAAAAAAATACGAGTGTTTTAAGGACAGCGAAGAAACCGTCAAATTCACATATATGATGAATGATATATTTGATGCCTTGAACAGGAAACACCCAGCCGAAGGAGTTAGAAAGAATGATAATAATTTAGAGGTTTTTTTATATGTTGTGTGTACATGTTGAAATGTTGAATGTTTACTTGTCCCTTATAAATGTATTAACAATATCAGTATATTTGTGTTTTAGCTAACTTTATTCAACAGTCAATGTAGTAAGTACTTTATACCTTAAATACGTATCCATAACAATGTGTCTATTTTTGCCTGCAATAATCATCAAGTGTTTATATATTATATACCTCCTTAAATAATGTAATATATATATTATGTAATACAATAAATTATCATATTACTGATATTATATTTTAAAGAAAGCAATAGTCTGGCTAGAAGAATTTGAATCAAATGTAACCAATGGTTTAATCATGGAAAATCAATTTTTGACTCGGCAAACATATGATGGGCTTATAATTACTATAAAATCTGCAATAAATTTAGTCGAGAATCTTTTATTAGTTAACTGCCCTACCGTTTTTATTGGCCTTACCCATTTCGCTTTGTGTATCATTACTGATACACAATAGTTTTTTCTATACCGCTCATACTCATTTAATTTGTGTTTCCAAACTTGTCCTGAGAATCAAATATGCTTCTCACATAACCTTGACAATCTTCCCTTGAGTATCATATATACACTCATTTATTTTAAGAAATAAATACTAAGATTCATATCTGACTCTAAATTTTATAACTGATTCTTAATCTAAACATAATTTGCTATTTAATCATGTTTTGGGCCCTTCTGATTGCTACATTCCTTCTCATTTTATTTTTATAAAATGAATGAGATATAAGAAAAGTATAATATACCGTATAAATAGGTTAGGTATATAAATAATTCTACTTTATTTATATTTTATTTGGAATAACCCTAATATTTACGAACTGAACAGTCGATGGTTATCTATGCCAATAATACTCGAGTTTTATTTTTGTCTTCTAATTATTTTATTTGGAGATCCATTACACACATTGGTTTATAGAATATCCTATTTATTATTTTAGCTATATGCAAGTCTTAATTCATAGATTATAAATTATAATGAATTTTAAAAAAAACCATATTTGTTGAATACTTGACGTGTACGGCCTATACAACAAAATATAAAAGGCGTAATTATACCAATATATTAATAGTTATAACAATTTCTTGGCAATCCAATTTAAAATGTATTTACAATTATATAAAAATTAAAACCAATAAAACAAATTAATAAAATTATAACAATACTGATACTTTCTTTAGTAATTAATTTTGTAAATAAAAAATTGTATCACCTTTGATTAGTACAACAACGTCTAGTATAACTTACTTTTTAACAGCATTATGCTCATTGAAAAAACAAGGCATACAAAAAAATTTAGTGCAAACGTAAATTTTGTTGTTACTTGTCTCGTTATCTTTTGAGGATGATCGCGTCCACCTTGAAGCATCATTTCTTTATAGCAAGCAAAACAACGTTCTCTTGATTTATCTTTTTCCAATTCATGATATTTTGCAGTTTGAATATTTCCAAACAAAGTCATCTCATCTGACTTTAGTAAACTTATAACCAGCATTTCTCTAAACACAGTTATGTCCATTTTCTCTTGGCGTATTTCTTCGTATAATGATAATGCATTGAGAACTGATGTGTTCAAAAGTAATTCAAAAACAACTTTTTTATACCATTTTACAGTTTTACGAAGAGGGCTGTGATAAGAATTTCTAAGATCAGTTACATCAACTAACCCTTTGCCTTTATTATAATCTATAATAACTTGAGGTTTTATTACTTCTTTTCTTCATTTATTAATTATCGTAGATTGAGCATCTGAGTGTTTTGTTGATATCATTAAAACCTCACGCTTGTCCTTCCATTTCAATACAGTTATGCCTTTATTACATTGTTTCGCAATTACCTCTCCTTTTTTCAATTTCTTATTGACCACTTCTTTAGGATTATTTTTTCTATTTGAACGTAGAGTGCCGACTAAATTAGTAGATCTGTTTAAGAGTTCACTTGCCAAATCGTAGCTACTATACCAATTATCAGTATACATTGTTCTACCTAAGTCAAGATAATCTTCTGCCATCTCCATTACTACTTTGGTTGACACTCTCTGACCAGCAGTAGCCTCCTTTCCAGCATAAATTTTAATACCAACCGTGTAAAAATTGTCAATACACAGTTTAAATAATTTTATTCCATATTTGTGTGTTTTGTTTTGAATATACTGTTTAAATGATAGACGTCCTGTAAATGGAATCACTGACTCGTCAATACACATAGACTGTTTTGGAGCTCGTGCCATTTTAAATTTTGATAAAAGCAAATCAAGTAATTTATTTACTTTAAATAAACGGTCTCCTGGAGGACAAAGTGCATTATTAGAGCAGTAAAAGAAGTTCAAAACGTTTTCGTTTCATAAATTTGGGTATGTCGGATATATAAATAATATTATTTGTTTTCCAGTAGGATGCTATGGAAGATTTATGACATAATCCCATCCACATTATAATTCCTAAGAATTTTTTCATCTCAGTGGGAGTAACGGTTTCCCATTGTTTTAGGCGTGAATGAGGACTAACTACAGATTTTAGTAATTCTGCAGCATATCGGTTTGTCTCTTTAACCAATAACTGGATAATTTCATCATCCAAAAATAATGAGTAAAAATCAAAAGGTGTACCTTCAGATAAACAGTCAATAATGTCTGGGTTGATGCCAACTGTTTCATTTGTTTGATTGAATAAAACACGAGGCTGAAAAGCATCATCTACATCATTCCAAACTGGTTCTAAATTTTGATTATTATTTTGTATGGTAATCGATGCAACTTCATCTGTGTTTGGAATGAAATCATCTTCGTCATTCTTTAGGTCAAACCGTTTGAAAATTTAATCATAAGATAATTAATAATATTTTAATAGAAAACGATGTTTTTTTATTTTAATTTGCTTACCACTAGGTAAACTAAAATCGTCGTCGTCATCCGTGTCATCGCCAGACCGATCTGACATATTATTTAAATAATTTGATATGCCGTGTTCATTCATACTTTAAATTTTATCGAATAAATAAATAAAAAAAACCTAGAGGTGAGCCTATGAAGGTAACACTTCCTAGCCGAATGGTCTTCCTATTTATAGCATGCGCGCGTGGCGGTCATCCGCACGTTTTCGTGAGCGTACTATATGATAGGGCTTGAGTATCATATTTGATACTCAATTAAAATCGATTATATTTTACCAAAAATCGATTTTATTTCATGGAAGAAAAAAAAATATGTTACAATTACACAATATTATTTGTTTTTACCATATGGCCAACTGACAAAAGTTTATAATTATCTACGGGCAACCAGTGTTGGTTTAGTGAGAATCATATTTGATACTCAAAGTATACGCAGCAAGTTTAAAAAAACGAGAAGGGCAATATAGTAGAGTATTCCGTGTATCACATATGATACTCAAGGCACTCAACTTGTTAAATGATCACGGCTTTTCTAAGGTGTTAACAGCCAAATTTAACCAAGACAGTTTAGAGGTTGGTTGATAGTTTTTCGTATATACTTGTTTAAATTTTAAGTACTTGATTTTTGGCATACCTACTGGTATGCATAATAGGTTTTATTTATTTTAGAAGTTTTGTGGGATCTTGAGACAGGTTTCTGGACCCAACGACCATCCAACAGCACCCACATTCCTCCAATTTTATCGTATGCTGTCAGTGCACTCTCCGGTGAAACCTCCAAAAATAGGAAATTGTACTGTAGAAGAAGGTTGAGAATCAATTATAATTTTAATACTACTTATACAAAAAATAAATTTATTTATTACAATTTTCAAAAACAATTCCCATAATTTCAATGACTGACATAAAAAGTATCATAAATGATCCAAAAAATTTGTCTGAAAGAGTTACTAAAGTGAATATATTAAAAAATAAAATTGACAAAATAATTCAAGATAACTGTTGGGATTTAAATGATATTTTGTAAGAACACAATTATACAGATTCAACGGTGTTTGAATGTGTTGTATATTTTTTGGCAGGGTAAAATAAAAAATGAATTTTTTCTTTGACACTTAGTAATATTTTAATATAATCACTCATTTTAATTTTAGATATATAGCTAGGCGTTTAGTAAAGAATACTAAATGTGATATGTGTATTTTAAGTCTGAAGAATTTAAATACCTCTGGAGCTGGCATAGGAAAAGAAGCTGATTTAATTAACGCTAAAACAAGAGGCTATCTAACATATCCCAGTAGTAATTTATATGTTATAGTCAAACGCCTCGAAGAGTGCTTTGCCATACATGCAAACTCAAATGATGTGTTTGAAAACACATATGAAGAATTTTTCAAACGGAATATGACTTTGAAGTTTTCATGTACTATCAAGGAACATCAAATAAAAATGTTGACAGACATTTTTTCCTATTATATAATAATGCGTATGAGGCAGTTCACTTATATTCAAAACCATAAAAATAAAAAATAAAACAAAAGTAAAAAAAAGTTATCAAAATTAGTAAAAAGTTGAGTTACAGAAGAAAATTGTTTTATATTTATAATGTTTTATCAAATAAAATAAAAAATTTTATCATTCGGTTTTATGAATTTTATTTATTTCATTATTTGTAGCAAATTAGTAATAATTTTTGACACTGGGAAGTGACCGAGCGCTAGTGATTAGTAGGAACAGCTGATTTTTTTAGAAGGTTTGTTCTTCATTTTATATTTTTTTTCTATCATCATCTAGTGGATGATGAAACCAATTTTGAAAAGAATCAATATGCCAATTGACACCTAATTCAGTCCACATCTTTCTGTTTGTTTGAGTTCCATCAGACACTATACCGTGAATAATTCCACCGGCCTTTTCTAAAAAGATTATACTCTTGATTATGAGTTTAGCTTATTCAGTTCCAACTACAGGACCTCTGGAAGCAAAAACAGCGTCTGGTTGTGAATAACTATCGGCAAGTGGCTGAAACATAAAAACTAAACCACTTGTTGCCTTGTCATTGATGTCTATTGCTTTGTAGTCTTCTCCGTGATCTACAAGACCTCTATATGTACATACAGTGATTGCTTCTCTCACTTATATTTCATTAACTAGAAAAACTCCATGTTTTTGAAACTCTGTTATATTCTCCAAATGTTTTTTTTAACAAGGCAAAAAAACTTGGATCAAAACCACAAGTCATATTTATTAATTCTAGATATCGTCTAATAGAGCTAATACTTGGTAATGGTAGTATATTGTTTTTATTTTAAAAATTATAACCACTAGGTGATCTTATTTGCAGCAACATACACAGCATTATCCATTCATCTGAATACCCTCTGCCCTTTGAATTATTAACCTAATTTAAATTAAATTTATTTAATACAATTATTTTAGTATTTACTTGGCATGATTAAAATTACTACCTTTGCTGCTCCAAATATTTCTTTTATAATTGTTTTTTGATATCCTGGACAATTTATATCATTCATTTTTTGTTTAATATTACATTCAGTTGTATTTTTTATTTTTTCCTGTAATTCAACCATATTCTTTCTCATTAAGTCAATTTTTTTTCTAAAACGGTTTTTTGTTTTCTTTGTAGTTTATTGTTCTTACGCAAAATTCCCTAAAAGTTTATTGAGAAGATACAATTAAAAAATGGGGCTAGACAAGTTATGAAATTCTACTAATTACTAGTACAAAAATAAAAATTTACTTCTTTATCACCATCACACGTTAAAGGTGCTCCGTTGGTAGTAGTACTAGTAATGTCTAATGGATTGTACGGTTGAATTAAATCTTCCTCCTATTATTAATATTGGTTGAAAATTTAAAATTACAAATACTTCCATACCACATTTTGCATCTACTTATATTATAACTACTTTATTTTCTGAAAACTTCAAACGTTTTCGAGCCGAAAATGGTACTGCATTTGGTTTTAAGCTAGGCCGTTCTACTGTAGTCTAAATATTTTATTATTAAATGTAACATTATAATTACTTTATATTTAAAGAAAAGTTGATAATTTGAGAGATTAAATTAGTTAAACAAAAATACTATAATATTAATTGTTATTGTTATTTTACTTAATGAGCATACAATATTTCCTAATTTATTCACTATATTATTTTCTTTTTAATTGAATCAACTAGAAAATTTTGTTTGCAAATAACATCATCATTTGTGTCTAAGTGTTCAATATTTAGAGCATCCAACCATTTTTTATTTAAATGTGGATCTTTTGGTGTGGCAATACCGATAGTTTTTTTTGTTTTGTTACAACCAAACCAACAAATTTTGTTTGGCATTGTTAATATAAATTATTTTATATAATAACCATTAACCAATCTCAAGTTAAAATGAATTAGGACTTAAGAGTTTAATAAAAAAAAACGCAATTTCATGTATCATACATTTTGTTTATTTTAAAAACATATGTGTGTATAACTCATAAAACATAAAACTAATATTAGTAAATATCCGTGGTACAACCATAAAACAATACGTTATGAATAATGATAAAATAATATTACAATATTTACATTATTTTTCAAATTCAAACCCCTGTAACATTTGGCGGTATTTTGATAAGCCATCACTACAATAAATTCTTAACCTTAAAAACGTCTAACCAGCAGCGCTTTTTGAAAATGTGGTGGAAATTTAACCCGTCGTCGGTATCGCTATATACTGTTACATGATGGGTATCGTGTTAGCGTTACGCTAACATTATCGTTTTTTCGGTTCTGTGAATTATTTATTGAAAAAAAAAGATAGGTATTATATAAAAATTAAACAAATCACTTTTTTGTAACAAAATCTATTAAAATAAAAACAATTTTAAAATTATAACTCATCGTTAGAATTTTCCGAGTTTTCTTTCACGGTGTTGCATGTCGGACAAGTAGGAGTAGTATGTTCTTTACATATATACACACCACATAACGAACAACTGACCTGTAAAATATAATATAAAAATAATATAATGTATAAATAACCAATAAATATCTTTATAATGGTACCTTTGTAAAGCGATTTTTTCTGATTGGACAAAAATTACATCTGATTCGTTGATCACTTGTCGAAACATCTGGATTCGGACTTTCTTTATTATTTTTTGAAGTACATCCAGTCATTTTTATTATTTGTTGTCGAAGAATAAATGATAAACATGGCTGTTCAAGACGTTTTACCATGTAAGGTTTAGTGAGCTCTTGTCCCAAAGTTTTCAAATATTCTCGACGAGTTATCATTTTATCTGTATTTTCGCGATATATAATTTGACTGTTTATCCCAGCAATATTCATCAATGAAAAAAAAATAGTTAGGGGCCATCGACAACTAATTCTTGCCACCGAGTACTCGCCTTTCATTTCGTCTACTACATCCACTCCACCTTTAGTACCATTATAGTACGTTATGACTTCTGGTTTTTTTTGGTCACCGGATTCCGGGTCAATGATACCTTGATCATGCATACTTGATATCATAATGACATTTTTATTTTTGTTTGGAGTATAGGATGTAAGTAAAAGGTCTTTTCCATATCCAAACAAAGTCGAATTTACTTCTCTTTTTTTAGTTTCTAAAAAAACCGGTGGAATTTCCCTTTTGTTTTTTCTCAAAGTGCCCACTACGGTAAGATTATGATTTTTTAGTAACTCATTAGCCAATGGAATTGAATTGTACCAATTGTCCATTGTAATATTGCGGCCAGTTTTTGATATCGGCGCTATTAGTCGTTTTACAATACTTGACGGAGAATTGTCACATTTGAAAGGGCCATCTGGCTGAGTTCCTACGTAAACCTCCATATTAGACGTATAAAATGTACGAGAATCAACGAGTGCTTGAATTTTGATACCGTATTTATTTGGCTTATTTGGTATATATTGTCGAAAACTGCAACGCCCTCGAAACCCTTCTAGCATTTCATCTATAGTGCAATTCTCTCCTACAGTATAATTTTCTTTACATCGGCGAACAAAATCATCGAAAACTGCACGAATAGGTGCTAGCTTGTCTATTGCTCTTCTAACGTTCCTTGTTTCAATATCATCAAATCTAACAGCTCGAAGTAATAAGGAAAAACGTTTTTCTGACATGACTGCCCGGAAATATTCAGGAGAAAACCCGTCAGTTCTCCACAAATCGTGTAGGTTCAAATGATTGCTACGCAAATACCCAGCCTAGTACAATAATCCTAAAAGGGCATCTATTTCTTCTTTCGTAGTATCACGCACATTCTTATTATTTTGATAATTTGCACGGATTTTCGCTAAATATTTATTAGTACACTCAACTATATCTATAACAACAGTATCAGGAAAAAATAACTTCCAGCAATCTAAGACTGATTTGGCATCTCTAGCGATTCTTTTCACTCCGGGCAAATGCAAAACAATATTATGACGACGAGTACGGACGTTAGAAGGGGGGTTATTTTTATACCATTTAGTTATTTTATCTTTCCCTAAGAAAAACTCTGGTTCGGAAATTATAGTAATATTTTCACCTGAAAGAGAATGTGATCGACGACGTACATTTGATGTAGTTTGATCGGTGCTTTCATCACTATCACTTGCCACATTTTCAATACAAAAGTCAGAATCGGCATCGGTATCATCGGAATCAAATAACGCGTAATCATCCTCAACCTCACTTAACCACGCACACACTTTTTCACAATTTTTGTCCATTATTTAAAAGTATAAAAAAAAATAATAAAATTCAAAAAATTATAACACGGTTAGTATCGTGCGAGCGGTACGCTAACATAATCGGTACTGCGTACTTTTACCAGTCATGATATCCATTATCCACATATTTTTGTATTTTTTTTGTTGTTATTTTAGTTTAATATTATTTAGATAAGAGGTATGTGGAGTTTCAAAACAATCTATTTTTATTTGAACAAGTGGTTCCTAAAATAAGTTTAATGTTAGCGAAACGCTAACACCGATACCGATGACGGGTTAAAACGTTTTCGCGCAAATAAGCGGTACATTGTTAGTTGGCTGACGGAAGAGAGTAGTCCTATTCAGTTCTTGTCCGCTTTTCTTATTTATAATTAAATTGTTCATACTATGTTATAAAACTCTCTACCATCACCACAAGCATGTGCTAAAGATGGTAGATAAAAAAATAGTATAATAATGGATAATATAAATAATTTTTAATTTTAATAAAAACATTTTTATTTTATTTCAAAGTTTACTCAATTATTGTTTTATAATATACAATAAAATATATCATCCTGATATTCTTTTTTTGTACTGCACAAAGTAACAATTTTCACTGCACACTAAAAAAAAAACCTGATATATAGAAAATTGTGTAGTGACACAGTGTAGTGAGTTATAGTTTTGACTTAGGTGATCTGTACCAACAAAAATATAAAAATGTTTGATTTTAATAAAAGTATAAGTTTGGTTGTTTATACCATACCTCAAAGAAATAAGGGATGCATATTGTAATTGAGATCTGACAAACGCAAAATAAATACCTTTAAAGCCATTAAATTTATTAAAATTTGTACAAGTTCATGTAATGAAACCAAGATTTTGGAACGCTTATATTAGTAAACACTAATTAAGACAACAAAGTATATTATAAATTTATTGAAATTAATGATTGTGCCAATTTTGTTTTAAAGTAAACCAGTTTTAACTAAAATATTATTAGTATATTAATAAAATAAATACTATTAAATTACCTTATACTTCTTATTTTCAGTCTTAGATCTTTTATTGTTCCTAGGCCAGAACTTTATAAAATAAGTTCTTCAGCTGCATCACGTTTCTGCCGTAATTTAAAACCTGGATCACTTTTTAGCCAGAGACATGGAAATCTCTGGTAGTCTTCCAGGAACTTGAAGATTTCAAATGTATTAGACATTTTTATTCGTATATGAATTATAAAATACGTTCTTAATTCTTATTAATTCTTCTTAATCTTATTTAATATTTAATAAAAAAAAGATGTACTAACACTACAACAGTCTACAATAGTATGATAGTTGACTGTCCGCACGATGATAATTAATATCATTATCGTGAAATCTACTCTCACACTATCATGCACGCATGATAGTACGAGCACAGAATAACCAGAAGGCTCACTTTTTTCGATTTACACGGGTTATTATGGGGGATAGATTTGCAACACCTGTTGGGCTATCAGTGTAGCCCGTATAGAGAGAAAAATCAATTTTACAACCACAGAATATTCTGTGGTACCACATGGTACAACATATTGATACAATAAATATTGTACATAATTTTATTATATTTCGTCATGGTATAACAATGTTGATTTAGATTTTTAGTAATACATAATACTAAAAAATAATAAAAATACAATATCTTAATAAAAATTATTTACAAATGTTTTAATATAGCTAGTTTTCTATTTTTCCGTTTGTTTTCAGACAACATAGACCTATTTAAAAATCTAATTGCAGTAAAAATTCTAAAACGTATAAATAAATCTATTAAAAATGGTTTGTTAAATAATTCACAAGGATGATTAAAACGTACATTACAAAGTAAATCTTTCAATATGGACCCGATATTATCATTAGTTGCAATAGAAGGAAAGTTTTCAACAAAAATATCTTCTAATTTAATAACATAATTATAGAAATCATCATGAGGCATTAATAGTTTACCAAAGTCGGAAGAGTCATTTGCAGAATAAGATTTAAAGAAAGCCAAGAGAAAGGACTGATCTAATGTTTTTTGATGATTTGCATACTCTATACAAACCTGGCATACATGTTTCTCCATTTCTTCATAATGTATCCACACACGTATGTATAAGCATTTCTTTCAGGTATATTTAATTTCCTATAATCAACTGTACCAATTTTTATTGATTTGAAATTAAATAGATCACTTTGTTCTTCAGAAACAAATAATCGGTCGATTTTATTGGTTCTTGGTTGATCGCTCATATGAGTAAGTACTTGATCGAGATCTTGTAGACAATTAGCTCCTGGAGAATGTTTGAAATACTGAAGACAAAATATTTTTTTTAATGATTGAATAAATTGGATAGGTGTAGGATTTGTATTGTTACAGTTTTGCTGTCTAAAAACTCCAAATAAATTCTCAAGACAATCTTGATTCAAACGGCTGGTAGAAGTTTGATATAATTTGTTTTGGGTAAGATTTAAGGATTTCCGAAGCATTTGTAACCCAGAAATAGAAACCAACCAACCATTAATAAAATTTGTCCGGTTAGTCACATCAGTATTATTTTTTTTGTTTTTAACTTTTAAGTTAGTAAACATACCCGTCATTTATATTAAATGATCTGACTGAGGTGATTCATTATTAAAGGGACTATTAAAAATTTTACCATTAGGAATTTCTCTAGAATTAAACATATCAAACAATTTGTCCATGTCATTAATAAAAAGTATTGTTTTTTGAGAATCAACTGGTAATAATCCTCAATTTAATAATGTGGACATACCAGCTGCTATAGTGGCACTAAAAACTTGAGCTGCTAACCTAACTTTAATTTTATCAAAAGGACCAGGATGAATATGAAAATAAGTTAATTTATGCGCCATACGGAGGTTACATTTACTATCATAGTTGTAAAAATTGTCTAAATGTTGCTTGTTTACTAAATCTTCATTAATTTTGAATAAGTGTTTAAAAAACATGTTACGTGTTGATTTCAGCAGGCTAGGCGGATCAAACATATATATGACTTTCTGTTGTCCATCAACTTCAAAAAATGGTTCCTTAGGGGAAACATTATTAGCATGAGAAATGCGAATGAAATTTGACCCTTGATCAGTAATAAAGCATTTAACATTAAGATTTATATTTCTTAATCGGCGAATTGCAGAAAAAATAACGAAATTAAGATCCGGCCCAGAACAGCTATTTGAAACAAGGTAGGCAATAGGTTGTTTCCAATTATATTTGATTTCTCTGAGCATGAGAACAAGAGCGTATTTTGCAGGTTCATATGTTCTAAAATAAATTGATTGATTAAAACCTATTATCTCATCTTTAGAAACATTGTAAAATAAATTTTGTTTTATTGACATTTCATCAGCACATAAAATGCAGTCCAAAGCATCAGGATGAAAACTACTAATTTTAAATTCTTAAAAGTGAAAAAGGAAATAATTTAAGCCAGGTTTTAAATCATATTGTGAAGTTACTCTTCTTAAAGTGCATATAGAAGGAAGAGAAAAAGATTTTTGAAGAAAATGAAACACCATAGGGCTAAGAAAATATACAGTTAAAGCCCAGGCTGCTTACGCATAGCTGTGAATATGTTATTTTCATCATTTTAAAGGGTTACAAATGCATACTTTTTTTTTATTATTAAATTTTTTTATGTATTTAAGACAATCTCATATCACATTATTTACGTAAATTTTCTATTCCTGTTTCGATTCGTTGACACAGGTCTAACAACATTTTTATTTTATTTTTTTTTCTCTGAAATTGAATAAAAGATAGTATGAATAATATAGAATACATTTTTTATATTTAAACAATAATAATTAAAGTAACATATACAATATAGTACAATACAATACATAAGATAGTATGAATAATATAGAATTTATTTTTTATATACAAAAAATAACAATTAAACATATTTTAACATATTTTTTTAACATTTTCTTTTAAATATATTAATACATTTTTTTCATGTTTTCTTATATTTGTTTTTTGTGTTTTTGTTAATTGTTTTATTGTATATTTTATTGGTCTTAAATCATTATTCCCAATTACCTGTGGTACATAGGGTTTCACATCTTTTAAATTAAATTTATGCAACTTGTTTGTTAGAGGGTATTTCACGGTGACAAAATTTGCATCGCATTCGACGACGATAGCAGCATAGTATGGATAACCCACGGTTGTCACATTAACTGGAGATCCAATTGGAAAAGGTCCATCGGACCTGCTCTCCCCACGTTTGGATGTTGATGATGAGTGTTCTGCTACTGGTTCAACGGGTATCTGTAAAACATAATGTTCAGGTATTAATATTAATTTGTACAAAATTGTCATTAAAAAAAAAAAACCTGAGCTGATAAAAACCTAATATACAATATACTTACGACATT